AATGCAGGCGACAGGCCCTCGTGACAGGCCGGCCTACGAACACCCACGTCACATCACAAATGTTAATGTCGCCATATGAATGTCGAGATAATGCTACGGCGTCCGCGGGAGCCGACGCGCACTCGCAAAGTCCGGCGAGTGTGAAAAGTATGCGAGGGTCTCCGGTGCAAGGACGGCATCGGGGGGCAACTAGGCTAGTCCAAAAGCCATGCAACGTATCGAAGACCCGCGTTGCAACATTAAATGTTGGCACGCTGACGGGCCGCTCCAGCGAGCTGGCAGAAGCGCTAGAGCGCCGACGAATAGACTTCTGTGCCGTGCAGGAAACGAGGTGGTCTTGCTGCAAGTCGAGGGACATTGGCCGCGGCTTCAAAGCCGTTCTCTGTGGCAGTCCCAGAACCACCAACGGCGTCGGAATGATTGTCTCTGAACGCTTTCGTGATTCGACAGTAAACGTGGAGCGCTTCGACGACCGTTTAATGAAGATCATTGTTGTCAGAAGAAGAACGAAAATACCACTTCTTCTCTGCGTACGCCCCGCAGACCGGATGCTCCGAACAAGCCAAAGATAAGTTCTGGAACTTGCTTGATGAGAAGACAGCTGAGAATCCGTCACAAGAAGCTATAATTGTCGCAGGTGACCTCAATGGGCACGTTGGCGCTACGAAAGACGGTTACAGCTGTCACGGTGGTTTTGGATATGGGTCGCGTAACACTGATGGCGAGCGAAATCTGGAGTATGCAGACTCGCACAACCTCGCCATTGTGAACACGAAATTCCGAAAACGCGACTCACATCTCATCACCTTCTATAGCGGTAATACAAGAACACAAATTGATTTCGTACTTGTCAGGCGCCGCGACCAAGGGCCTGTAACAGACGCGAAAACAGTGCCTTATGAAACGGTCGCCACGCAACACCGACCACTAATTTGTACGCTTAAGATGGCTCCACCGAAACCAAAACTAACGAAAGGTGTGGGCCAGCGAGAATTAAGTGGTGGCGACTGAAAGAAAAAGAAGCGGCCGTCGTTTCCCGCATTCGATTACCAGCGGTAACGACTGTCGACGAAACTGGAAAGGTGCTGCCGAAGAAATAACTCGGATAGCTCGATCCGAGCTCGGGATGACGAAGCCTGGACGGCGGAGAATTGATATTGGCTGTGGACGGACCAGATCAAAGAGAAGGTGCGCGAAAAGAAGAAGCGGTACCACGCATTTCTTAACGAAAAGACAGCTGATTACTGGCGGAACTATCAGATAGCGAAGAAAGAGGCAAAGAAGGCCGCTGCTTCCGCGAAAGCAGCTCATTTTGCTGACATCAGTAAGAAACTTGAGTCGCGCGATGGTGAGCGGTACGTTTACCGACTTGCAAAGACCCGCCATCGTCAGACCGAGGATATAGAAAAGTTCTTCGGCAAAAATGGCCACCTATTGACGGACCGCAATAAAACACTGTAGCGATGGCGTGACTACTTCGAAAACATCTCAACAGTCGAATTTACTCATCCCGCCATCCCCTGTGCTCCGCCAGTACGCGGACCCGTTCAGAAGATAACCATGGAGGAGACCATCACGGCCATGAAGAAGATGAAATCAGGCAAAGCAACTGGTCCTGACGACTTAGCAGCGGACTTGTGGAAATCAAAATGCTGGAATCCTGCAGAATGGTTGACGGAGGTCTTCAACCAGATCGTTGCAAAGAAGAAGGTGCCTGAAAGCTGGCAACAAAGCACGACGATTCCTATCTAGGAAGAAGAAGGGCAGTCTAGGAGACTGCACGAGTTATCGTCCAATTAGCCTGCTCTCGCAAGCGAGTTGGTAGATACCCGTATCCGGGAGCAGTCGTCGAGCTCACCGCCAACCAGTGTGCTTTGTGGCTAGTTTGCGCACTATCGCCTGCCATACCACGCCGCTCGCATTCTGCTAGAAAGCCACGCGCGACAACAAAGACCGTGCACCTTGCTTTTCCTAGACTTGGAGCAGGCTTTCGACCGCGTTCGCGCGCGACTTTATATGGTCTGGCCTTACGACAGCATGCTGCCTGAAGAACTTGTCGAGTGGTAACGCATTCTTTACTCGAGCCCAAGAGCCGATTGCAAACGCAGCAGGAACATCGATGGATTTTCGCCATCTCTGTCGGAGTACATCAGGCCTGCGTTATCCTCACTCCTATTTGTTTGTCGTAACGGATACCATTACGAGAGATTTCTAGAAGCCGGCTCAATGGACGCTTCTTTATGCTGATGACGTGATGCTTGCTAGCGAAAATAAAAGCACGCTCGAGCAACAGGTGCAGGCCTGGTCCGACGTCTGGCAATGTTTCGGGCTCAAGCTGAACGTCAAGAAGACTGAGTACTTGACCACCGATTCGAGTGAGTTGGGCTCTATTAAGGTCAGTGGTACTGAACTCACTCGTGCAACATCATCCAAGTATCTTGGATCAGCAATTGCGTCTGACGGCAGCCTGGTCGTGGAAACGAATTCTCGGCGTGAATGCAGCCTGTGAAATGGCGCTCGATGACTGGCGTTCTCTGCGATAAAAACATGCCAGAACGTCTCAAATCCAAGATATATTGGACCGTCATCCGGCGGTCGCGATTTGGTGCTGAGTGCTGGCCTACGACTAAGAGATCGAAGCACGGCTCAGTGTGATGGAGACCAAGATGCTGCGTGGACAGCCGAGTCACACGAGTAGACCACTTCGGAACGACGTTATCAGAGAGCGACTCGGGTGGCTCCAATTGTTGACCAGTTGCGCGAAGCCCGTCTTCGATGGTATGGTCATGTCCTTCGCGCGAAAGATGACAGTGTCTGTAAGATCGCTCTCAACCTTGACGTGCCCGGAAGCGGCCCAGGGGCGCCCGAAGAAGCGATGGCTCGATACGTTGCACAAAGACTTGAAGTCTGTTAATATCCACCCCGATCAAGCGTTTAATCGGGAAAAGTGGCGCCAACATATAGGGAAAAGCGGCCCGCCTACAAGCGGAACAGACGCTAAAGAAAGAAGAAGAAGAAGAAGAGGAAAGGGGATTCAATTGACGTAAGCCCCATACCCTATGTCTTCAGTGGAGCTCTTCACGTGATTGTTGAATAAGCATCATTTTCTGACGTCCAGGCGGCCTCCATGAATAGGAGAAAGGGACAAAGCGATTCATACCCTACCAAACATCCCTTTTGAGTTAGTTCAGACTAGCACGAAACCATAGGTTAGACTACACACTGGCATCACGTTGTTCTTTAGAACATCAGGAAGTCGGCAGTGAAATCAGAGGCGAGCCGCAATGTTCAAATCGAACTTACTGTCGAAAACCAACCTTGCCTAAAGCCTTAGCTTCCACATTGACCCATCTCTTCCTGCAGTTCCCGAACTACCGACCTGTTTAAAGCCTCTTACGATTGCGCATTCTTTTCCTTGAAATGGATTCCTACTGACGAACCGAAAGTAGCCTTATATATTATGAGATCTGCTCACGGAATGCGCTGCTTGTTCATTGAAACGGTAGATACTAGTATGTATACGGCACCTAAACGATCAAAAAAAAACCAAACAAAAACGTAAAAAAAAGAAAAAGTAATCAATTTTCGTTTAGGATTCTGCCGAAATTGACAAGCTGGAAGAGCAGCACATAAAACCAGGTAATAATCCTGCCTTTTTCGCTTAGTGACTTGTTTACGCATTTCTGCCCTTCTCTATATATTCATTTCTAGTGTGCCCTGGTGGGGCGATTCCCTACGGAATCCCCCAAGTGATGCTTTGCGACCCGGTAATTGTCAACATTTGCCCTAATAGCTACACGGTGAGTCACTTCTTGGCTAGCTTCCACAACACATGACGCCTAACTATAACTTGAATTGTTCTCAATTATTTCTTGAACGCGATACAATCAATACCGTCGACTACAGTGCGTCGAAGCGGCCAATGGCCATCTGCTCCCCAGAGATGCCCGATCGCTCTGCTGCAAGACTTCAACGCTGTATTCGTTCGCTTCTGTGTTTGGTGAAGTGAAGCTGTCTCCACGAATCGTTCCGAATCCACCACTCTCAGCCGTGGAATATGTAAGCGACTACTAAGCAGATTCTCATATTCAAATCTTAGATAGAGTTTCAGCAGTGGGTAATGGACTAATATCACCCCTCACCACATGAATCAGTTATGTGTGGAGGAACGTGGTCAATATGAACCCCTGGCTTTGTTCCCTCTTTACCTCCTCAGAACGTACGGTTAAGTTCACACTATATTTCGCAGCCTTATTCTTCTGTCTAATAGACGATCTACGCCCTCAATCTTCTCCGTCTTTATGAAGCAAACACAACCCCTCATCCAGGATTCTCCGACCCAGGCTCACCTTCTTACCAATGGCGCGACCCCACGAGATTTGCAACGTAATAACACGCTTTAGAACATACATATCGGACTCCTTTACGGTACCAAGTTGGGAACGAACAGCCATTCATCTAGCACAGAGTTAGAATATGCGTAAAATGTGCTTCGAGCAAAATACACATGGATTCTTTTGGTTGTTGGAATGTGATCATCGATGGATTTCTCTACTACATCACTGATCTCATTAGTACACAATATTTTTAGGTCAGACTCAATGTTCACACGTCAGCAACGATGCACGCTCCAGAGATCCGTACTGGTGATCACTTTGTACTGGCACCGTTCAAACTCCTTGAGCCGGCATACCTGAAAGGAGTGAAGTTATTCACAGAACAAACGCGAGGAAGTTACATTCACGTCCTTCTCTTTGGTGAATACTCAAATGGACGTTAACAAACATTAGAAGCCCTTCTCGAACATGTTGGGAAATTTAGGAAGTCAAATTTAAGTAGATTCTTTGGTTCTTCTGTAATTTAACACATTCACGCCGATCGCCCATATGGGCTGCCAACAAAATGTGCTTGTGGAACGATGGCAGCCCATATGGACTGCCAGCTGATAATCACTTGCCAGATGCTAGGAATGGACAGATAGGTGGGCAAACCTCGTAATCGAGTGAGAAATGATTCTAAAACCCATCACGAGGGAAGCGAATGAATGCTCTTTTTCCATAACCACTATTTGTCGTTCTGATCTGAATACTACTATTATATGTTCAGATAATCTCTACACATTGAACATTGCTGAAATCACTTTGTGGCACTCATCTTTTTGTTCATTTATAATACAATATCTGACATGATGTGGTGAGGCGGCGGCGCCTACGAAATCGCGTTCGTCAGACGCGACCGGAAAGTGGAAAAGCGGCGTCGTCGTGAATGTGCTAAAGGAATCCTTCACGGAAAAATCATAATTCAATTTCAGCTATAATTCACTGGCCTGGGACCCATCGTCCACGATAAGAATGGGAAGAGTAGAAAGATTGCATTCGTTTTGGTAAAATTCGAAAAACCGAAAGGCTGCTACGCGTTCGAGTTACCGCCGCACAACTGTCACAAATGCTGGCGACGAGGATGCTCCCACTTGGTTCTTGGACTACTGTCACTGGAAACTCTTTCTGGCCTTTTGACTTATTGCATTCACATCTCACACTTCTACTCCATCCTATTCTATCGATAAATTTGTCTCTGCTCTCCAGAATCGCACGCTTCACCCGATTCTTTCATCGCGTCGCCTGGTGCCTAGGCACATGCCGACTTATTCCATGCCCCGCCCGAGTTACCTTCGGTTGTCCTTAGAATAGATTTTCGTGAGTTTGTTTCTCTTCGGAAACCGGGCCTTCATGCGTAAAACTTTTTGTATTGCATCTAGTGATCACAACTGATTTTCTCATGTTGAGAAAGAATGCGAGGATTTTCCGCGAAGGATTTCTTTAGGCTAAGCTCTACACCTCGGGAGCGGTCCTACGTTTCTTTGTGGTTCCCTGGGCAGCCATCCCAATGTTTTCGTAACAGAATAATTTGCAACTGATTGAGTGATGTTATGAGCACTGATTCGTACTTTCTTTTGTGCCCCTATTCAGTTGATTAATTATTCTAGTGAAGAAGAGGAAAGGACAGCATCAAATCGTGCCGTGCTGCGTAAAGCACAAGGCATAAAGCATTCGGCAGTGACCAATCTCTTCAAAGAATACGCCACGCTTTCTACTCACATTCAGAATTAGACGGGTTTTCAGAAGGGTTTTGGATGCGAATTCGCCTATACAATGTCTTGTGGGGGCCAGCCTATGTACAAGTCGTTTCGTTAACCTCTTAGACAAGCCTAGTACCACTTGAGCGACTCGATGGAATGAAAAGCTCGGTGTCTCGGCTGAAGCACGACCCAAGATTTGATCCCGAACCGCGTGGAAGCAGCGCCACTCACCACCAAACCACTTCCGCACATCCGGAATGCGTTGGGGCGGACATCTCCATCTCAATTTTTGCGCTGAACCAATCGAACCTCATGCGCTATTCCATCTGTCATTTTTAACTAGATGTAGTTATGTTAGTGGAAACCTAGAACTTCATTTTCGCTCTCTTTTTGTGCTGCATCCTTTCTAAAAAAAGCGACAGTGAACAAAATGCAGCTGCTGCACGAATCCTGGTTAAATTTTATACGAGTCTTGCGGTATGTTCACTTTTACAAACCAATTACACAGCGAAATTCTGGCGATCCTGACCGAAAATCGAATGCGTGGCGTATCCCACAATTAAGATGACCAACATAGAATGTTTTATCAGTCTTTATGTAGGCTTCATTCTGAAACCGAAACACTGAAGAATCTTTTACTTGGCCTTTTTAACCAACACTTTTTCGAGATTGATACGAGAACGTCTCGAGAGTGTGAGGCATTGAAGGTTGAATGGTTTCAATTTTTTATTAATCCCTTACGCGCAAACAAGCGCTGCAGCATTGTTTGAAAAATCTGTGTTTAAGAACAAAAATTCTTCACTGTAACAGCTATGCAGTACCTTTAGTCACCCGTTGATGCCAACATTCAATGTGAGTATCCAAAACATCCTAGTTCTGGCTGTTGCTAATCCTGGAATTACTGCAGTGTTTTGATGGTAATTCGTCGAACTTCTCAGAGAGTGATACTTACAGATCCCCTTTCGTCAACGGAACCATGCAGCTGTACTACGACCGACTCCCAGAAGGTGACCGATATGTAGACTTAGGAAAAACCAATCGAGGACGGCGGATTCATTTCGAAGCGAATCTTCAATGCACCACCAATGACAAATATTGAAAATCCAAAGCGACCTGGACCAATCAAAGAGTGTCAGTTTTTATGGTGAAACAAGTGTGTACAGTAAGGAGTCAAGATCGCTCATTGGGCAGGATTGTTCGGTTTTTTGGCAGTATTTAAACTTGGAGATGAATGCATACCGATGGCCTCATATGTAGTGTAAAGTGAAATACTGAAATTGCTCTGTATCTCCAATCTAAAATCAGAGGAAGGTTTGGGGACGTTCTTTTTCACTAATTTTGCATCGTTGGCGACCTCCTGGTTTCTTGCACTAAATGCTGTGAGTAATTTAGTGTTTATGCCTATTTGGAACGGGTGATTGCAGAACTGGAGCAGAGCCGGCAGTCTGTTTGAGGAGGATCTTTGAACAGTAGCCGCGACCAGCTCATCCATCGAGAAAATCCTGATTTTTAACCCGCATACGACGTCCCGATCGAACACTCCTCCGCCCCGAAGGGCAACGGGCGAAGTCATCCGTAACTTTTCCTCGGATCTCTTCCGTAGCCATGCCCACTAATCTATTTCACCTGAGAAGGGATGGATCCCATTCCCATTCATTCACATCTCTCTTCCGAAGTGACACGTCATCTCGTCAGTGAAGAATTGAACAGCACTCGGTCCCAACATGCTCAGACCAGACTATCTGAGGAAGTCAACGCCAGGTATCATTAAAACTCTGGATGAACTTTTCACAGCCTACCTGTCGGAATGGAATGTGTATATTCTTTGAAAAAAAAACCGTAGAACTGGGCTGCTGTACAAGTAGGAAGGCTCGGACGACATTGCATATATCCCCCGATCTGTCTGCTATCTGTAGTCTGCAACTTTTCATTCGCGTGATCTTCAACAGCATTGGCAGAATACTGAATGAAGAGGCAATCAGGGCGTTTCGACTTATGGTTAGTACATAATGATTCTTCGTGAGCCTTACAGCAAGTTTACTACCAAGTTTCAGCATTGTACAAGGAAGTTATCATCGACAGGGGTAGACATGTTCTACAGAGCGATACCATCCCTTCCAAGCTCGGCAGCTATGGAGAACGTCGTGTGCTACGGGCTTTGAAGACATGGGAGTGAAGATCGATGGTCCACAACTGCACTACATATGGTTTGCTGACGACATCGTTCTTATAGCACTGGAGATCGAGCAATCAGTGCAAAGCTGTTTGATCTCGTCTGCACCTAAGGTCGGTCTGCAGCTGAACCTGAAGAGGAAGTCAGAAAGGGGTTGGTTCCTGATGCCCCTTCACACTTGGCAGAACGAACACCTCGGAATGCGGCTACCTGCACCTACTTCGGGAAACCAACATAATGCACGACCTAGGGAACCCGACAGGAGGTTCGCTGCGCGGCGTCAAGGCAGAGTCAACGAGCGAGTCGCAACGCGTACTGTAGCGATTTAGCGTCAAGCCAAATAGGAGGTACCATTTACGCCCCACATTGGGCGTCATGAGGAGCATTCAAGAACATCAAGGGTGTTCAAAGAGAACGAAGAAGATTCGCCTCCATGCTCATTTTTCAGTTCTGCAATTCACTCTGCCTTAACTTCTGCCCCAAGGACCTGAACTCTGCGCAGGTACGACGAGCATGCGGTGGGCCATGGCGCCCGGTGGAGAGTACGACACCCGATACAGCAGATAGAATTACTCGATGCACTCGGCTGCACAAAGGAATCCGTATTCCCAGATTCCGTCAACGGTCGAAGGTCAGTGACGCAGCCGTTCTCGACAAGAAATCGAAGATAAGGTGGATCGGATAGTCTGACCGTCGGGCCAGATGGATGCCGACTGGATCCATCAAAATGTCAAATGACCATGACAACCACCGGCCCGATAGTCAACGTTCTTCACGGGTGCTCTCAACGAACTGAATAAAAGGCTTCGTGTCCCTCGAGCAGACAGAACCCACTTCTTCCGCGTGACAGGTACTAATGGGGACGTTGCTCACCCGCTTAAACAAGTCGATGACCAGGGGGATGACAGGTGAAAAAGATGATCTGTAGTTAGTGTGCTTGCTTTATAAACTCGTGACCGCAAGGGAAGCTCCCATTCCTAGCATTTTTGGGGCGTTTTTTCCTTGTCTTCCTAGCGTTCCACTTCTGTTTGGTTTTCAAGCGCATCAACCATGCCTCTCTTGCCGTAGAGTAGCCCTGAAAATGTTCTTTTCACTTTTATAATGTTTTTTTTGGCTTTAGATCGGAAACGATGGGTAGTATTGGTTTTCAAGACGACGGATCCTTTGACTCGACTTTACGTCTTCTCGACAAGCGATCTTCA